GGGTAGAGAGTTGTCCCGAGGGCTTATTTTCCAATTTGTGTATATATCGCATCTTTTTAGCAATTCGAGTGGAAGCATAGTTTGTAAAGGGGTTCTTAAATTTGTGCCTGATCCCCAATATTACTTGCCTTCGGGCGAAGAGGCCAAAAAAAAGTGATATTCACCTAAGTGAAGAGTTTCCGACTAAAGCAACATCGCAACGGGACTCGAACCTGGAGTTTAGTCTACTAGTCAGCCGTTATGCCACAATGCCGCGAGTTTCTTTGGGTCACAGAGCGGAAATAAATTTGAAACAAGTCCAAGCATTTCACTGCCCACAAAGGCAGTATTTGCTATAGCAATCGACAACATGTCCTTTATCAACTTAGATAAGGTAGGGTGAATACAACCATTGTAGTGGATCTCTAAAGCTTACAAACCGAGAGGAATTGCTGGTCCAGTGCCGGTTTGCTGACAGTGGGAAAGCGATGCCCTATTAACAACAAAAAAGGAGAGGATCAGGTAGGAGTGTACTCGCCGAGATTCATCATTGTTCCTTTTTGGCTGAGCACCATGTATTTAAAAGGGCTGGTGGCTTCAGGGATCGATATTTTCTAGGGCCGTTTGCGAATATTATTACTAGGGAAAGACACGAAAGATGTTCAGAAAGTTCATTGAAGCCTACATTGCTGCAAAGATAGTTATCTCATTCTTATCTGATTCACATAGATCTTCTGAGCGGGATAACACTTAAATACTCGCTACCAGAAGGAAATTCATTAACCCACATCGTCATCACAAAATACATCGTTGAGTCCGCTTCCAATGCGCAGGGGAAACGCTTGTTTGCATTCTATAAGCAGATGAAATAAACTCAATTATTTAGGCCACATCGATTACACGAAATTATCTTGTAAGAAAACTTGGAAATAAGCAGCTATTTACGCGGCTAAGCTAGAAGAGAGAAAGTATTAATTAATTTCTTTATAGCCTTGAAAATACTATGAGCAGGATAAAAAGATTCAATTGTAAAATGAGTGTTGGAAATGCAATCGAAGTCAAGTTCAGCGATTGTGCCATCAAGTTATGCGTTATCGGTGTGTTGGCTCTAAGACGTCTTGTTATTCTTCTTCATTGTTGTATCGTGCATTGGAATAACTTCGATGGCGCTTTGCTTGGTCTGCCTGTCGAAAATCACTAGAACGAGACGATTCGCCCTCTGTCAGACCTCGGGAAAATTGATAATTCCGACGCTCGGGTTCGATCTTGTCGCGATGATGATTGTAATCATCTTGATCCCAGGCAGGCACTGTTTTCTGCTGTTGCTGATCTGAAAAGTGATCCCAGCGCCGTTGGCGAATGTCTCGAAAGGAAGACTGTCTGTCACCAGCGCGGTGGCGCGGACCATATTGTGATGGTGGCCATGATGATCGTCGACTCCTAAAGTTGTGATGTGGTTCGTTGACTGCGCGTAAATCAGAGAAGAGGTCCATACTAATTAAATCAGAATCGGCAAGAATATCATTTTCGCCGCCGTTTGCCATTGGAATATCTAAAAAGCTCGAGGACAAGCCACTAGCAAGAAGAATTTCACTTGGAAGGCATTCAGCAAGCGTAATTTCGGAGGTTTCCGTAGATTTTTTGTCATAGCTAGACGACTCTTCGGTATCGAAAGACCGACGCCTACAATAGCTGGCCTTGATAAGGGCACAAATTCCTCGGATAAGGCCCTTCTGGTGGGTATTCGGGCTAAAAGGAGAACAATGCAGTATAGAAGAGATTAAAATTGGGTTTTTTATTTGTGATAAGTGATTCTGGTCTTTAGCCATGACTCATCCATTTGTGA